AGCGGTTGTGTCCAAAAGCTTGCAATTAAAGAATTTTTTTTGCAAAAATATAGTTGGTCTAATAAAAGGTACCACCTCTACCATAAGTTCTGATTGCTTGAGAAAGCAAGGGACATTCATGCAGTACTGCTTTGTGCAGCAGCTGCAGGCAGCCTGTCACTTAGCATGCCAGTGCCTGCACAGACCAAACCAAAGCAGCCCCATTACACAGTGTCCCCACTATGGCCCAGCACTGGGCGACAGGGAGCTGGAGTGTGGCTTGCAAGTGTCAGTGCACAACAGCCAAGGAAGATGAGCTGAGAAGCAGCAGCAGAACATGCTTTTAGCTGGGATAAGCCACTGAGAAAGTGCATCTCCTCAGGTGCCCCATCCCCATCATCTGCCTCATCTAGTAGCCTGGCATATCACACCACCCTGCAGCAGTTCTCAACCCTCTCTATGCCACACAGAAAACATGCTGCACAGGAAATCAAAGGGGTTTTGGGAACAGAACAGAGCACAAAGCCAAGCTCCTACCATCAATGCTGTCACAGTCCCTGCCAGAGGGCATGCAGACCAAGCTGATGCAGCCCAAGGCTCAGCACCTGGAACAGGCTGGTCTGGTCTCCCCACTCCTGCCAGGTGTCCACACATGAGCATTCATGGAAGGCAGTTTCAGCTCTTCCACCAACTCCCTGTGCAACCATAGGCAAAGCCCCATGTCTCTCTAGCCTCATTCCCTCACCTTCAGGGCAGGCAGCAAGTCAGCTGCCACCTGCAGCAAGCATAAGGAGCCCTTGCTTAGGAGGGCCAGTGGCTCTGCAGAGCAGCTGCACATGGGTCTCTCAGCATCTGCCAGGCAGCAGGGATATTTACCGCGTGTCCTTGAGCCGTCGCTCTGCCAGCCAAGGGAGAACCCGCAAGAGGCCCTCGGTGATTTACACCTCGGAGCAGTCGCCTCTGCCAAGGTTCAATGCAAGGGGCTCACAGCCTCACTCATGAACATGCCAGGCTCCACCTGGGCAGGTGCTCGGCATGACACCTGCCACAAGAGGAGCATCAGCCACAGCCCAGGGGAAAACTACTCTTACAAACAGCGGCTGGTGCAGGAGGCAGAAGAGTTTCCGATTCAAGTGAAACAGACAGACCTTGGATATGGCGAGAGCACTGAGCCTGAGTGCCAACAGCTGATGCAGCCCCTTGGGCCGTACTAGGGGTCCTGAGTGTGGGGGAAGCAGCACCATGTGGGTGGAGGTACTCCAGGAAAGGAATTCTGGGGCCCCTTCAAAGCACAAGACCAGTGTGGTCTGCTGGGCCCTGCTGGTGCACACTTCTAGAGTCAAGTACGGGCCAGTACTGCTGGACTGAAAGCCGCAGAAGGTGGCATGGAGGCATTGCCCACCCCTCACTGCTGAGCTTGGCACTTGCTGCTATTTCTACTCAAGAGATGAACCCCTGCATGTAAATGGTGGGGGAACAAGGACGGTGAGCACTCCTGTCTGCCTGAGAAGGGACCAGAAGCTCCATCTCTTGGGACTTTTGCGCTGGGGAGGAACATCCCACTCAAAGCTCCATCTCTTGGGACTTTTGCGCTGGGGTGGTACATCCCACTCCCCAGGCTGCCAGGTGGGGCCTGCTCCGTGGCTAGGACATCCACAAAGCATGGCCACGCACGTGTTCCAATATCTGCTCTCAAACCAATACTCCAGGATTTTTCCAGGCTCTGTCCTACTAGACCACCTGTGGCCCTTTCCTACCTTGGCTTCAAGTCAGAACAAGGACATGCCAAGAAACTTGTTTTCTTGGCTGTAACTGAAACGGAGCCCGGCAGCACACAGGTGTTATCTGCAATCGCAGCAATTGGCTTGGGAACAGGCACTTGTTCCCCACTGAGTGGGACGGTGGGAACAGGTAGGAGGCTGTTTATCACAGCATGGCTCAGGGAAGAGTTTGCAGCTGATGGGGATGCTGGGATGTCAGCATGGGGAGGGTGGCAGACACCAGCTTTTCTTGCGTGGCTCTCATGACCCACTGCGATATCACAGATGAGGAAAGCTGTTTTCAGAGCAAATCCTTGGCTGGCCACCTCAAAAGCAGCCTCCCTTCATAGTCACAGCCTTTAGCCACAGGCAGGCAAGCAGGGTGGCTGTCACATGACAGGGTGGACACATTAGGAAGGTCTCTTACTCTCTTTGGACAACACTGTGAAGTTGCTCTCACTGTCATTACCTTGGCTACAAGTACTTCATTACTTTTCAGAGGCTTGACTTTCCTTCACTGATGTCAACTCGCATCCTTCAGCTTGACTAGACTAGCTGCACTTCCTGCATCTCCTGCACTAGCCCTACTTGTGGAGGAGAAAGCCAGGCAGCCTCCCTCAAAGCACCTTTACCGAAGGAATAAACTCACCTCCTACTTCCCAGGCTGGGACCAGATAGGGCAGGAAACAAGGCAACAACTAGTAATGCAAAGACCATGTTCTGCTCCCAGTGCTCTCAGACTCGCTGCGTAAGCTCAAGTCACTGCCCCAATAGGCCTGGTTCCCTGCCAGGACTGGGGAACAGCTATTTCCATAAATACCTCAAACAGCTTTATACACACAACCAAACGCTTGCACTGTGCACTTGTGAAAACAACTTGAGTCGGTGACAGAATTGGAAAAAAAAAGTCTCACTCTTAGGCAAGTAGCTAGAGAACAGCACCCCCAGTGCCCTGGCTTCCTACTTTGTTAGCCTCCCTACCACTCAGCTGAAGGATCTGTCCAGGAGGCTGCTGTGCTGGTAGCCTGGGGGACTTGCTCAAGTCACACTCACCACTCCTCCTTTATCGCCTTCCATGAACTGGACAATCTGGCAGGATGACTTCTCCCACAGGAAGATGTGCCCGCAGTCGCTGCCACTCACCACGAACTCACTCTTTGGGCCATAGAAGTTCACGCCTTTCACTGAAAGCAGATAGAGGGTTTCAGGTGCACAGACCAAAGACATCAAGAGCCCAGGGAGCAATCCTTCCAACATATGCTTGCTGCCAGGAAGGAAATAAACAGGTTTCCAAGGTTACCGACAAGGATCTGTTCAATTGCCCAGCACCCAGGGGCTCCCTGTGAGCATGGCCAGAAGGCAGAGCTTAACTTCTCATAACAGACGGACCAGAGGAGACAGTGACAGGGGACACCTATTCCTGCCTTGCTCCAGAGCTGTGGATGCCCAACCCAAACCTGCAATGCTTGCCCTGCCGCCTGCATTAGCTGTTTGATAAGCAAGTAACTCTCCCCTGATCCACCAATGCCCCTCAAGTCCAAACTGCATTCCCCACCAAGCCGCTGTGGAGTCCAGGGGGTGAATTTAGTCATCACAGAACAGCGGGGGCAAAGACATCTGGCTGTGTGTCAGAGGTGATCTCCGTCTCCAGAGAAAGCAGAGCAGGGGTAAAAGCAGTGCCATCAGCATCACTGGCAGGAGTCAGCCCCAACCTGGGAAAGATGGCTCTTGGAGACAGCAGTATCAGAGACCCAAAGCACGTCTCCAACTCATTTTCACTTAATTTCATCCCTGGGCCTGGTCCTAACACCATACAGGCCACAGGATGCTCAACACACTGTTCCAGCGTCATTACCTGTGGCATTATTGCGATGCCCCTTGTATCTCTTGATATACTCTGCTCCATCACTGTGAGAAGAGTTGAAGAGATAAATGTCTTCATCGTTGTAGCTGGCCAAGAGCTCTGCCATGATACAAGAGATTAGGGGTAATATTAGAATCAACACACTTAGCACCAACATGCCATGCCATAAAGGGCAGAGCAACCATCTGCCCCAGTACACCTAGCAGGAGCTCCAAGTCCAGAGCCAGGCTGACACAGGGACACATGAGCTCATATCCCACATTGTGTTCACGTAGCATCTCCAAGCCCTTTGCGGTAGGCAAGCCAGTGTCATTCCCACACTGCGCCCAGGGATGCTGATGTATAGGTATTGAGTGACTCATCCTAAGACAAGCATGATCTGTGACTCATCTGCAAACAGAACCCAGATCCCAGGAGTTGCTCTGTTCCCAGATGTCTGGCTGTGCATTCCTGGCTTTCATATCCGTTTCCCCACCTCCCTGACGCTCAATCTGAAGACTGCTTTGTGCCTTTGGAGCACTCGGGCTGCTTTGATGACCATAAAGGCCAGATAGGAAGACTTAAATTCAAAGAGCTCATCCCTGCTCAGTGCTTTAGCTATGAGTGAACTCGTGACAAGGGACAGCCCTAAAGGCAGAGAAACAAACCTACCAGATCCATCATGGCTGTACACAAGACAGGTGATGTTTGCTTTGGACTCGCTGTTTACCTGGAGGAAGAAGAACCACACAGACAACTTTGACCACAATTGTGCCGAGAGCCACAGAGCTATTATATTCTGAAATGGGCTTCAAAGTAGGGCATACAAATCCATGGTTCTCTTTAGAACCAGCTGGCCAGTGAGTACAAGACTTTGCACAGGGTTAGAACATCACAGCTGCTCCATTCTTTGTCCACCTTACACCACCTGTCCTTGATTTGGCAGAGAGGGAGGCGCCAAGGATGCCCAGTGCCACAAGTCGGTTTAAACATCTGCTCTGAAGTGAGCCAGAGCTAAAACGACCCTAACTCAAACTCTGTGGGATGGGCTCTGGGCTTTGCTAACTAGCTGGGGCAGAGAACATGCCAGCCTGACTAATGGGGCCTGGACATGTCCTACCACCTCCGTCAGGGGCTGCATTCCCCTTTCGATCTTGCTGACAACAGGAGGGTTTACAGGCATCTCTCCTGTAGGATGAAACATGATCCCCCAACAGCTGCACCCTGCCTACAGCTCTGCAGGTCCCACAATGTAACCCCCTACCTCCAGCCATTAAGCCACCTTGGAAACTATCATACAAGCTATCTTAATTGCTTTGTAACAACACTGCTGCACACACGCACACCCACACAGCACCTGACAAATCCACAACAGGAAAGAAAGATGCCGAGGAACAGCACATGCCATCTACTGACCCACCCCCAATACAAGCTTCCCCACACTGCAACACCAGCGCATGCAGCGTAGGCTGCAGACTGCAGTGACTCAGAAACAACTCACACTCATTATATGGGGTAAAAGAGCTGCCTACCAGGTGCTGCGGGCAGAACTTCTTCAGCACGCCATTGTTTTCATTCTCGTCTATTTTCCGCTGATCGTAGATCCTAGACAAGAGAGCAAGAAAGCTGGTGAGAACACCGCAGAATACGTTCACACACAGATTCAAAGCTTTTCAACCCCATGACTTTCCAAGTGCCCTCAGTGTACACTAACGTACCCAAGACCCTTCTCCAGCTATTCAGCGAGTCCCTTTCAAAATACGGTAAGGCACCTGTGTAAGGTCATATTCCACCAAGATCCCGAGCAACTATCGGGAGCTGCAGAGCCACTGGAACTGGAACTCGGCCACAAGACTGCAGATGCTGGTGCGCCAGCTCCTTCATGAACCAAAGAGCCCTTCACGTCAGAGAGTGACCAAGGTGCTAGACAGCCTTACACGACAGGAGATGCACACCTCCAGCAGTCATCTGGTGGGATGCCACCATCTCAGCTTGCCTGTGCACTGCTTGTGAACGGTGGCTGCAACACTGCTTGGCATACAAGGCTTTCCCACCTTCCCCATTGCCTGCACCTCCCTGTTGGTTGGATATTCCAAGGGGTGGAGAATATGGGGCTGCTAGTCGCATGGAAAATCCTGGTGACTGTCAAGTCTTTCAAGTTTGTACCCTGCAGGGAGGGAACATCTGTTGGGGGACTGGTGACAGGACATCAGGAGGTTATAAGAGACCCTCTTAGCCACTAAAGATAGGCAGAAGGAAGCCTATATAGCAAGCAGAGGGTAAAAGGAGACTCAGTTCCTCAGAAGAGAAGCTATGTGCAGAGAGAAGGATCTTGGACTCAGACACTGGCCTACTCCTGAATAAACCCTTAGAACAGCCGGGCAAGGAAGCTTGTAGAGGCATTTATTTCTTGGGCAGTTGTACCAGTGAAAGGGTTTGTGAAATACTCATAAAAGCAGTATGTTACGTGCATAAACTGCAGTGCAGCCTTGGCGAAGCAGACCGTCAACCGGAGTGCCCACTAGGCTCCTGGGGAGTGCAAGGTGCTGGCTCAGGTCACAGCTCTAGACAGCTCACATGGAGGGTTTCAGCTCTGAGGAGGGGGGTGAGGGGCTCTAAACATGAACTGCTCTAATATGAGGTCTCAATGTTTTTATCTACTGTTTGACAGCAGAAAGGAAAAGAATTCAGAAGCACCAGACAAGGGAGAAACAGACTTTCACATTAAAGCAAGGAACCACAGTGCAAATCTCAAGAAAAGCATTCCAGACTGGAGCAGCTGCATAGAGAAACAGCTCTTACACTGGAAAAGGAAGCCAAGGGGCAGAGCTAGAGAGAAGGAAAAACCCACAGGCAGTGGGTGAGGCCTGACTATGCATTTGGAGATGCTTTCCTCCACAAGAGAGACCAATCCTTTTCGACTCCTACTAATCCAACTTGGCCTCGATGCAGCCCCATGGCAGAAGTGACTTCTTCCGTGCGTTAAGCAATGTGCGTCAGTGTATTGGGCAACACAAAGGAAAGAATTCCTGGAGTCCTCACAGCTGCTGTCTTCTCCAGGACCCCAGCTCCAGAGTTCAGCCTGCTCAACTCACTCCTGCCCTTCTCAGCATCTTCTGGGAGACACTCACCTGACAAACTGATCTCTGCCTCCTACAGCAAACTGGTGCGTGTTTGCAGGATTCACGTAGATGGTGTAGAGACCCACTTTCTTATCCTTCTCCTTTGTCACCACCAGTTTTCTTCAAACAAGAAAAGGAGAAAAAAAGAGAAAGATTCATGCTTTAATTCAAAACAGTGCCCAGATGGAAAGTGTGTGCATGGCTCTCAGCTCGCTCGATCTTACTCACTCTGAAGAAAAACAAATTATTTCTGCTTCCAAATTGAAGCAAGCACATGTCACATCTACTAGTCAACAAACGGCGCCGCATGAAGTCATCTGCTGGCTTTTTTCTTCCAAACAAAATGTAGCAGCATGTCCTTGAAAGGTTTTACTGTATGTGCCAGTCTGATGCATCCAAACAATTAGTAATAACCTAGTACCCTGCAGGATGCATACCACACTTTCAATTGACTTGTTTATTTTAGCTAGGAGGAGGAAAATAGCAGCAGTATTGGGGGGGGGGGTATGCAAACAGTTCTCAATATTTAGGTTCTGTACAAGTTCATATGAACACAAATGGTTTCTTGGAAGCTTTGTGAGATGACCATTCCAATCTTACCATTAGATCCAATAGCAACAGGAAGCTATTATAGGAATGGTGTGGAAAGCAAGAATAACCAAGGCTAGGTTGGTTTTACTGGCCAAATCAAGTTTTGCATGACTTCAGTTGTAGACAAACAAAAGGCACTGAAATGGTTCTATGATCAGTGTGATTGTTTTGACAGTCTCCCTTTAATCTTTAAAACCATCTGCTTCATAACAAGGCAAAATGGTAGGCAGATATGTGTGTATACCCAAAACAAAAGATTCAATAAGAGAAGCTTTGATGCTGTCAGCTTTCAAGCTCTTCACTTTAAAATAGGATCATCTTCAAAAAGATTCCATTGCATTGGAAAAGTACCATGTTCCCTGAGCTGGAAGTCTGCTTTGGAACCTGACAGTATATTTATTTTGGAAGGCTGTCAAAGCCGACAGCTCGACATGCAATGAGGTTGAGATCCTGTACACAACACGCAGCTGCTAGCTAATTATTATTTTTCAATTAACTGCAGTAGTGTTCCAATAACAAGAGGCTTGCTCAGGCTAAAAGCTTCTAGCTATTGTAAGTGCAAGGAGCTCCAAGTGCTGTAATTAATTAGACACATTGCTAAACAGAACCAGAGCAGGTACTTGGGTACTTTGCACCTGTTGAAGTCTCAGTCAGTGATCACAATGGCGTGCTTTGAAGGAGGAATGGAGACGTGCATCTGACTCTGTGTGCACACACGCTTCAGGGCTGGCTGAAAGCCTGGAACAGCAGCCTTTGCACAGGGGTGAGGATGCTGGGGTGTGAACGTGAACACCTGCAGGCTACCGTGTGCATGCTGGAGGGACCTGCTCTGGGCAGCAAAAGAAGAGCTCAAACTGCTGGACCACCCCAGGAAGACTGCCAAGCAAACACAGCAGGCCAAGAGATACCCAACTTGTTACGCAGGTCCCCAGACACCTGCCGATGGGGAAGGCAATGGAGTGGATGGGGGGCAGCAGCACCAGTACCTTGCACTCCAGTGTGGAGGCTTCATGAGCCATTCAGTGATTTAGTCATGAAAAGATGCAACTGCAAAGCAAACTGCTCTACCAGCTGGCAGATAAGTCCATCTCTCGGTCAGGTGAATAGTGCTGCAGCTCTGCAGACAGCCAGGGCATGCCCAGGAAAGCGTGAAATGACCAAAAACCAAAGTCTGGCAAACCACACCAGAGCGCCCAGGGCTTCAGGACCTAGAAGGAGCCTGAAGGTCATCAACTCCCTGATAAATCAACAGAAGGCAGCAAGGAGCAATACTCACGAGGCAGGCCGGTCTTGTCTCAGGTCGATGGTGAAGACCACAGCATCTTCACCAGCTGAGAGGAAAGTGCATGGGGAATCCGGTTCTAGGGCCAGCTGCAAGACAAACACTCTCATTGATTTCTTTCTTTCTTTCTTACTTAGACCAATTTGATCTATTCTTTTGTATCCTCCATCTCTGAGCTCTCCTGATAGGAAGCCTCCAATGTTTGGCAGATACCCTTAAGATTTTTAACCTGCAAGTGACCCTGCCATATGCAGCAGTCAGCTCAAGGATCTGAATTCCCTATAGGGCCAGAGGGAAGTCTTACACCACAGGGCTTTGGGGCCCCGCATGTAGGTCACAGCAATCGGAGACTTAGCTAAGTTGCTAGAGCAGATAGCCTATACCCCTTGTGATAAAAGTACTGGGAGGGCCGGGGAAGGCCATTAGTTCTCATTTTCAGCCTCAGCTCAAAACAGGCTGGCCAGCTAAGAGGGGCAGGATTTAGGCACAGGACAGCTGCTATACTTGGGCTCTGGCTCCTACAAACTGCTGGGCAGGTTTATTCTGACCTGCCACTTAGATAGCCACAGTACAATGCATGGAGGAGAGCAGGGTTTATAGCACTACCTCCAGAGGCTGCAGCACTTGATGGAGGCACAAATGCAAACAGAAGCAGAGACAGGAAGAGTTAGCAGGACCCTTTGGACAGCACCTAGTGCAGCCCCTGGCTTGAAGCAGGAGCAGATGTGGTCCCTGTGGTGAAAAGTCGCAACCCAAGATTAGACACATCAGTCACCTGCTTGCACCACTGGGGTTTACAGGTCCATTAGCTTTACAACTGGTCAGAGAGGTGGAGGGTACAGAAGCAGCAGCTCAGAACCCTTGGATCTGTCAGCATGTCCTCCTCTTGCCCATAGGAGGGAGACACTGATGGCTGGACAGACACCCAGGGCTGTGCTACAGGAAGCAGCCAAAGGCAGGATTGCCTGCTATGCTGAGGCCATGCCCTAGCAAGCAGGGAACTCCTTCTGGTGAACTGGAGCTGTCCCAATGGATAGATGTAGCGGAGTGCATATTGGGATGCGCAATTTTCATGGGCTACAGGCCACGTATGAGAGCCACAAGAGCTGCAAAAAATCTGGCCCTTGTGGCAGCTCCCACCAACCCTTATACCCTTCTCCCGCCACCTTATACCCCTCCCTCCCACCGAACTAGTGACCACAGGGGCCACAACGAGCTTCAAGAAACCCCTGAATGAGCAGGTATCGTGTACCAGGCAGGAGGGCAGAAACCCAGTTTGGATGGGCAGCAGGGGTCAAAAGACTCCATTACTCCCTACATGTCCAGAGTCTGCTCCAACATCATGGCAAAGCTAAGTCCTGGCCAACTCTGCACAAGAGCCACCAAGAGAGGTACTGAGAGGACAGGGAAGGCACAAATCAATTCTCTCTGACCCCTGGCCAGAGCCGGACTCCTCTGGACCAGGACAAGTAGAACTGAATCTTGCCACCCTCCAAGACCTCTCCTTGGCAGGCCTTTCTGGGATCCTTTACAGAGCCTGAAACAGAGGAAGGGCATGTAGGCACTGGCTGATTAGTTGCTGAACAGAAGGGGTTACAACCTGTTCCAAGAGGCAGCATGGCGGTCACAGGATGCCCAGGTGCTGGCAGGGTACTCACCTTATGTGAGGCTCCCTTGTGCTGGGCCACACGCTTGGTGTTCTTGCAGCACTGGGTGGCAGACAGTTCAGCGACACGGACCTGGCCATCACGAGCACACATGGCTAGAGTTGAGTCACCACTATTGGGGAGGAACTTCGCCTGGAGGAGAGCACATGGGAGAGGCTGCGGTCAGAGCAGGCACGGAGCACGTCCTCCTCCCTATATGGGCAGGGATTCCTCTCCATTCCCACCCTCAGCCCCAGCATGCAGCAGGACAAAGCCTGGAAGGTCAGCAAGGCCACCACAGAACACAGGGCTGATGGTAATAGGAACCCCACCCCTTTTCAGATCCTTTTGCTCTGCAGCACCTGGTCTGCAGCACCTGAGGCAGCTCTGAGCAGAAGCAGTTCCCAGCTGGGAAGGAGGCCCAGACTAGCGCCTCCATCTAGCCCCCAGGTTCTGCAAGAGGTAAAGCAATTCCACTCACTAATGACAGCTGCTGACTCACCAGAGACTCTGAGACAGCTCTGAGTGCTGCATATTTCAGCCTCTTGCCCTATGCAGCAAGCCTGGGGAATGGCAGCTCCAGGCTTCACGGACACAAAGCAAAGGGCTCCCCACGTGGGAGTGGAGCCAGCATCACCCCCAGGGGGCACCTCCACTTGATGCTCTGGACATGCAACATATCCAGAGCATCACAGAAAGATGTCAGGAGGGCTGGACACTGAACCAGGGTCCTGGCACCCCAGTAGCTGCTCCAGCCAGCAGGCAGCCCCACATGCTCCTAATGTTACATCACCACCTTTACTGGACTGGAAGGAGCACCCTCCCACCAAGTCCTCCATGCCACCCCAGCCTTCTCACCTGGAAGACATTGCTCTTGTGGCCGCTCTCGAACTCCAGCACTGGCTGCCTCCTAACCCAGTCCCACACCACCACTTTGAGGTCATCGCTGCCACTGGCCAGCCACGTGCCACGCTGGTTAAAGTGCAGGGTGTTGACGCAGCCAGCGTGTCCCTCCAGCCCATGTTGGAGGTGAAAGCGCTGCACGAAGATGCTGGCCCCACAGGCGTCATGGACGAAGCGCAAGCTGGAGCCAAGCTCCCTCTCCCGGAGGGCGTGAACTGCCTGCCAGCGGGGCCGGGGCAGTGCGGTCGTCTCCGAGGACACCCAGTCCTCCAGGGCTCGTTCGTCATCTGAGGAGTCTTGGTCATGGTTGGCACGTTTGCGCTGGGCACGGCGGCGGGACCGCTGCTCCTCCTCATCGTCCTCCTCCTCGTCCGAGTGGGACCGGTCATGGGTGCGATTCTCCTCATTGATCGAGTAGTGGCCCGTGTCATCCATGCTGTCTGAGTCTTTGTCTTCCCCTGAGCTCTCTGTGTCTGTGTCCCGGCTCTCCGTGCTGGTGCGGTTGGGCCCCACGTCATCCCCAGTGAGGCTCAGGCTGAGGTCAGAGGCCTCCACTTCAATGCCCGAGGAGGTCTCGCGTCCCTCCTCAGCTCCAGACATCTCCTCTGGACTGCTGGACAAGCTCCCTACATAGCATAGGCAACAAGCAGGTCTTAGGTCAATAGCTTCTCACATCTACATTTTGGGAAGAAGGCAGGGCAGGGTGGCCCTTAAAGATGTACTGGTTCAGAGAGGCATAAGCTTTTGTAGGCTGACTTCAGACTAACAAGCCTCCCTACCTGCATCTACAGCTCAGGATTCCCAAGCATCCCTGGGCACCCAACAGAACACCACCACTTTCAGGGTGAAGTCCAGTGCATCCAAAGTGGAATCAAGTCTGGCCAAAGCACTGCTTTTACCAAGTCCTACAGCACTTTCAACTTGGGCACAAAGGCTACATCCTGGGTTGGAAGGTCTGGTTCAAAAACCCAGACCCACTGGCTGCCTGGAACTCCACAGACTACCTTAAAGGCAAAACTTCAGTCCCCTGGGGTCTAATTCAAGAAAGCCTGATGTTCAGATCACTTCTGCATCCCCTTGGGGCACTGCTTGCTTAAACATCAAGTTGCATGCAATTACTTCGACAGACAAGGTTCTTTGGGTGAATCTGATATCTTTTATTAGACCAACTTAAATAGTTGGAAAAAAAAAATTTAAAAGCAAGCTTTCAGGTTCAAAAACCCTTCATCAGGCTAAGGAAGTTTCAGCAGTTGGTGTGTACTTAAAAATGTTTTCCCAACTATTTAAGTTGGTCTAATAAAAGACACCAGATTCACCCAAAGAACCCTGTCTGACTATGTCCTTAGACCAACACCTACAACCTACACCCCATGCAATTACTTGACCTCTGTTACCTTTAACTGCAGTGGCATGGGAAGCACTTGTGACCGCAATTGTTTTCTTTCCTTTCCCCAAATCAAGCCTCTCACTTCCCAAACCCATCTCCTGATGGAGACTAAGTAACCCCTTCTTTTCCTGCTTCTGGCACTTAACAGAAGCATGAACTTTGCTGTAAACCAGGCTCCTGAACCACAGCCTCTTTTCAGACATGATCCCTACTCCCACACATAGGAGGCTCTATGGAACCTCCTCGCCCTTCAGTCAGCAGTTATCTTGGCCATGTAACAGGGGATCTCTCTGCTCCCCTAAACTTGGGGACATTTCTCCCTTTTGGTCCAGCCCTGGCTTTTCAGGGCTCATCTGTGCCTGTTCTTCCTCCTGAGGGCACCCTAGCCATCATCTAACTGGGACTTTTGGAGAGAACAGCAGAAGCAGACCATCAGGAATCCAGGACCAAATCCTGGTTTCCCTGAAGTCAGAAGAACATCATGGTTGACTTTACTGGGACAAGCACCAGCACTGGTGCTATCTGGCACAATAAACATCTGTTCTGAAGCAAGGGGAATGCACAGCACAACCCAGACAAGGGACAGGCCACGGGCTTGCCAAGGGACACAGAGATGGGATGCTGGATTCCCCCTTATCCACACCCTGTCCCTGAACTGCTTAGAGCTGTATCAGGGCCAGGTGAACAATTCACTGATTTATCAGGCAAACAGGGTCCCTTTTGCTTCCATTGACCAAGATTTGCATGTATTTGCATGTGAAGTCATTCAACAGCATCCTGCCTGAGGACTGCTTGAGAACCTTCAATCTGTGAGCAAGCACTTGGTGGGCAGTCCTGTCATTTGGTAAGGCATTTCTTGGTACTGGGTCCAAGATTTGAGAATACACTTTTGTACAGAGCAAACCCCTTGATCTGGGCATAATGCTCCTACCTGGCTGATCCAGAGGATTGTCAACAGGCTCAGAGAAAGCATTAAGGCACCTCTGATCCCTTGCTCTTCACTGAGCTCTAGGCAGGGCTTGGTCTTTGCTTAAGACAACTCAAAAAGAGGGCTCATATCCCCCTTCCTTACCATTAGCTAGGTCTGTCTTTCCATCCATGCTACTCCCCTTATCCGACATCTTCTTTTCTTCTACGTTCACCCTGAGCTCAAGAGATTAAAAATAAAACGAAGGTTGGTAAAATTGGAAAGATTTGCTTTGAGACTCACGGAAATGCAGCGCTCTGCCCTCGAGCTGGTAAAGCAGCACATTCAGTGTGCTCACATTATCCAGGCTGAGTCAGGAAGGTCAGGGCTTGCTAATAAGGTTTGATCTAGCAAGGGCTGTGTGTTCCTAGAAACAACCCACTATGCCTTGACCCAGTGTACTTGGAAGTTGTTTAAGTGATGCTGCTTTTGTGCCACTTATCACAAGACGGGTACTCTCAAGCGCATTGTAAAAAAATACTAGCCTCCTAACTGGCCAAGGCTTGCAGCAAGCCTTTGGTTAGTAGATACCTAGCAACAAGATCGCTTCACTTATCAGAATCCTTGAGCTGCCCGCTGTCCTGATAGCATTCCCCACGATAAAGACCCCCCAACTCAAGTGCATCTTCCCCCCAGAGGAATACACATTGATCTACGAGTTCGAGAGGCAAGAGATCTTTGCCAACCACCTCCGAGAAGGAAGATGCAATTGCTGAATGACGAAATGTCACGGCCCTGCTGTCCGCCGTATGCACGACAGGGGAAATTCACAGGATGCAATGGGACTGCTCACAGTAAGGTGTGACGAAAATGCAGAGGCCGTCACCCTGGCGGTAGCTTGCCACAAACTGTTTGCAACGGCATCCATTTAAGCTTCACTTGGCAAACGGTGCCTACAGCAGCCTAATGCCCTCTGCTGGGTTACTAGCTTGTAACACAATCAACTCGTTACCAGCCAAAGTCACTGGCCCAGGCAGTTTCCCCATAGCAGTCTGAGGGCAGCTCGTCCCCTCCTCTCCTGTCCAGCCATTCCTGCACTGGGAGAATACTCCAAGACCTCCCCGACTCATGGATGAACAGGTACATTGTTGCTGGACCTCCAACTCCATTGCCTACATTTCCACACCTGCCCCACTAATTCCTCTGAACCTGCTCCCAACTCTCCTGAGCTGGGGCCTCCATCTCCACCTCTCATTCAGATCCTCCCATCCAGCTCATGCTGCTCTGTTATGCCACAAAGGGCGAGGAGTTGCTACTACTCCTGCTACACCAAAAGACAACTGCCCTGAAGGGGGCAGTTTCACACCCACTCCTAGAAATAAAAAGACTTCAACAGTTAAGATCTGAAAGACAGTGGAGGAAGGCAGCCTGAGCACACAGCCAGCCCTGGCCATGGATCTTGCTTGCAACCCACAGTGACTAAGAAGCCATTCAAGAGGTTTTCTTAACCTTTTAAACACCCTCACACATACCAACTCACCCCCAACCTCACCACACCATCGAGGGAGCATTTCTACATCACAAGGGACAGGGCACGCTCACCGAAATCCAAACCACTTTGGAAGTCGTTTCCTCTCACCGGCCTGGAGCCTAAGCCTTACTCTCCAGGGTCCACTTATTCCTCTCTCTCTCTCTCTCAGAGAGAAGGAGCTCCAGCACAGAGAGCTATGCTGCGAGGCTCAAAGCTCCCCTGGTTTACAGTGGAACAAGCTGCGTTCTGTAGTTTCGTATGGAGGCATGAAAAAGAGTCAACTGTAAGGAATCCAGCATCTTTAGCTGCTGGATTACCCCACAAAACCATTGTAACAAAGGAGGGGTTGGATGGATATCATTTTTCAAGCGCGCTCTGCAGCCTCTCTAAAATCCCATTCATCCCCCAGGAGAGCTACCAGGGTAAGAGAGTATGCTGCTGCTCTCTACTAGGAGCAGGACTGTTTCTTTCCCTTTCTGAACATGGCATTTTCACTTCCTGGCCCCAGCCAAGAGTTTTGTCATCAGTTCTAGGAAGGAAAAGCAATTTCAGCCATTGGCAACAGAATTGTAGCCTGGCACCTAGTGCTTTTGCCAGAGGAGACAACACAGCTTGGAAACTGCTAGGGGCAAAGCAGCTGTTCCACATTGATCTTTCCATGTGGAAGCTACGAGCAAAAGCCGGTTTGCTGAACTCACTGTAGAGCTGTCTAACAATTTCTTTTCTCACTCCTATCGCATGGATCTGGGCCACAGGGACCCCTCCTCCCACTAGCTTTTAGCAACATTAACTTTTCTTTTTTTTCTTTTTTCTTTTTTTTTTTTTTTTAAAACAGTAGCATTGATCCCCTCTCCTCACTTTGTAATGCTTGGAAAAGGTCGTTTCTCTTTACTGACTGGCCCCTTCCAGTGCAGCTAATGGAGCCCTGGGCACTTTGCCGCTATGTCCATCAGCACCAATGATTTCTGAGGACAGGCCGAGGGAAACTGGGCTTCTTCAGTCTGGAGAACGAGAAGGCTGAGAGCAGCCTTCAACAATCTGACGCGGATGGAGCCAGACCTCTCGCAGTGGGGGCAGATGACAGAACAAGGAGCAATGGGCTCCAGCTGCAGCAAGCGGAGTTGAGGTTAGCTGTTAGGAGAAACTCTCACGAGGAGGATAGCAAAGCACCGGAACAGAGGTGGTAAACTCTCCATCCTTGGAGGTATTTAAGACTTGGCTTGATGAAGCCTTGGCTGGGATGATGGAGGTGTTCAAGGTCCAGTTAAAAAAAAACACTGGCTAGGATGATGTAGCTGGGGCTGGTCCTGCTTTGAGCAGGGGTTGGACTAGATGCGACCTCCTGAGGTCCCTTCCCACCCTAATGCTCTACAATTAAGGATGCCCACACAGCACTATAGCATGTGGCAAGCCACCCCGGGCAGTGGTTCAACAAGGCTGGCGGAAACACGCAGGTTAGTCGTCAGCCTGAATTCGCTCTTACGTGTGCACTTGGGCACACAGTCTACAGTGTGACTAGGCACAGGGGAAGCCCAACCAGAGATCCCCTTCAGCAGGGTTGAGAACTAGGCCCTGGCAGGTGTCATCTTGGGTACACCAAATCAGTTGCATTCAAAAGCTGGGGCCTGGACTGCCAGCCCATTTCCCTGGGGGGATCACACTGTTCCTACTCAGGACAGAGGAGGGAAGAACACCTTTAAAAAGACAGGTCAGTGACTGGCAGGGACAGGTGCAGGACACTGCTACTTTCCATATTTTTTAAAAGCTTTCCAGATTCCCCATCTCCAGTAGCCAACTGATGTTCTCAAGTCTCTTCCATCCCCTAATTTTCTATGAGTTCTGGCCATGTGGTACATCCCAGATATTATTAAAACCACTTCAGCTATGACAACTGCATGCTTGAGTATGAACAGAATTAACATGTAGTCTCTCTAATCAGCCAGCTGGAAAGCCAGTTAACTTCTCTATAATTCCACTAAGCGATTACACTTACAAAACCTGGCACTTAGTTACTTCACCCTTAATACATATATCGAACCTGGAGTTAGAAAAAGAAAGACAGCAAGACTAAAATATACAAGTATGGGCTGAGCTGCTAACGTGCTAGCTTTACAAATCACATGCCCGTCCCAAATCACTGAATCAGGTAAGTTATTCAGGATAATGTTTTCATCAAAGTACAGAACAAAAAAACCCCACTTTAAGAGGAAAGCAATCCATTACTAGGTAATTAGTCTGAGTCTTACCCACCCACTCCAGAGGATTATAACCTAGCTATGAAATCAGGAAGCTAATTGGAACTCAGCTGTCTTGCAAGGCACTTTTGATGAAGAGAGATTGCTCCCTTTTGCCTCTCCATTACTTGCTTCCTCTAGCAGGATTAAATCAGACACTAAAGAGAAAAACATATTGTAGTCATTAGCCATCTTTTCTGTTCAGGTAGTTGAAGGAGTTCAAAGCATTCATGGTAAGGGCTCCATAAGCCAATTTATATTTAGGGTAGGGAGAGAGAGTTTGGCCTACAGAAAGCCTTATCCAATATTGCCAATTGCAGTAATCGAATTCATATAAGGTTAAGAAAGTTTAACTTGGCAATGAGATTAAGTTGTGCTTAAGATAAACCCCTGGGGGCATGGACTAGGTGCACTGGGTTGAGTACACTGTCAGCACATAATGGCAATAATGGAGATTAAACAACAGCAATTGGAGATCAAGTGGGAAAGCAAGCTAGGACTTTTGCGCAGGAGCAAAATCCTGCAGTCCCCTGCAAGAGGTGACTCACTACCTCCACCTGTTTTTACCAGGGTATGATACATGTGTCCCCCTCTCTTCTGCATCCGAGTCAGGTACCAACTGACCAGCAAAGCCCCTTCCAAATTAAATCCTCATTGCCCAAGCCACATTTCTCTTTGTGCTGTTGTATTTGGTGATTAGGTCAAGCAGGGGGCCACATGGTATGGCAGTCCAAATGGAGGGAACTTGATTTTAAGGCATTTTCCCCCAACTGGTCTGCCAGACCCAAGGCTTGCTGGATTTTTTGGATACAGCCAAAGCCTCTGAGGATGACTTTTGCCTTTGGCTGCAAGGTGTCAATATGTTTGAGCAAGATGGATAGACATCTCCTCTGTCAGGTTACTGATGAGATATATTTGTATTCATAAGATGCAGATCAAAGTCCTGTGCCTGCAGCATTTCACAGGTGCTTGGGGTATGGCTCGGAGAAGACATGACAATAGGGGTGCTGCCTCCCTTCTCTTTATGCACTGGCCTGTGTCAGAGGGCTGGGGAATCACCCCAGAGCCTCCACTAGAACAAGGTGACTTGCCGCCAGTTTTTTTGCTCACTGCTCCATTGTACACACTGCAGTAGGGTCCATGCCAAATCTGTCCATATTCCCCACGATGGAGCTGTGCACATCACCTCCAAGGGGTGACACACCGATGGACATAAATCACTGTCTACTTCACATATGTGATGCGGTTCCAGTACAGGCTTCCCCCTAGTTGCTTTGCATACCCTTGCCTGTCTGTGAAGCCCAAGAGACCTCAAGCCCCACTTTACAGATGGTGAATAGAAAAACTGGCTGGATCATCAGGCCCAGAGGGTAGTCATCAATGGCTCAATGTCTAGTTGGCAACTGGAGTGCCCCAGAGGTCAGTCCTGGAGCCAGTTTTGTTCAAATTTCTTCATCAGCTACCTGGAAGATGGCACAGAGTGCACCCTCAGCAAATTTGCAAATGACACTGAGCTGGGGGGGGGGGGGGGAGGCAGAAATGGGGGGTGGGGGTG